AGACACCTGAGTTCACTCTTAGTCGCCTCAGATTTTCTGTCACTTTGAAAGTGTCTCAGGGCATTGGTACTCCTTTGAATGTCCCTTACATGAATGCCCTCCCCTGGGTCATCTTGGCTAGACGGTTCATGTACAGTAGTGGAATCCACCCTCACTCCACTGAAGAATACTGCACAACATTCTGATTTAAAACTAGCAGTGTAGAATATAAATCAACCACATACTAATACAATTATGAAATGGCTAATTGAGAAATCTCAAAAACCAAACTTCATTGGAGAGACATCAAACATGAAGACATTCCATTGGGATTCTGTAGGTGCTGATATTAGGTCTGGTGCTATTTAACTATTTTATCAATGGTTTTAGCATATAAGTACTGTACTCATTTATAAGGGTCTTTATTCTAGTACATAATGCATAATAAGCAGCAGTTTATGCAGTTTGAAGCCATTAAAATTGAAATTGGATAGAAGGCACACCTTTTTAAGAGCAAGAGTAATTAAACTTGTAAGAAATAACTAAGGAAAATTGATGATTCATTATATCTCAATGTCTTGCAATCAAGACTGGATGTCTTTATGGGAGATACACATTGGTCAACTACAAGTTATAGGGTTCAATGTGTAATGTTTATGGACTGCTGATAGTAGAAGGTTGGACTCAATAATTTAATATTTAAACTGTATGAACATATGAACAGTGCTATCTTAAACTCCATATTCCAAACATTTTTAACATTAAATAACAAAAGAGAACTTTTCAAAAGGAATTATAATTTCTGACTCAAAAGTAATTCCATTTGCTTTATAGTCTCTTCCACTAAATATTGAACATCTTTTCCTTATATAGTTTATAATCCCTTACCACTATGTCTCAAAGCTATAATATGTCCAGAATAAACATGAACACTTGCCAGGGTCAGAGTCATAAATGGGTCAGAGAAGAACTTCACTGAAGCCCAGCTAATATAGAACTACCACAGCAGTTGATGCCTAAAAGGTATCTTAGAATTTCCCATCCTTTCATCTTATTCCTAAAATTTAAGTCAGAGGTAACACTCCAAGTTACACTGATAAAATAATTCTCTTCCACTTGAATTACCAAAATTAGTTATCATTTATACTCAGAAATTCAAAAGACAATACAACATCCTCAGTTAACCTCAATAAAAAGCATTAGACTTGTCTATTTCAAGATACACTCACTTGTAGAAGCTACTTGTAGAAGCTAAATGAAGCCTCATTCTCAGTAACTGTGTGGCTTTATAAGAACAGAGAGAAAAAAGGATCCTTATACTAGGAGAGAAAAAGCTAACAAATCTGACAATTAAATCCTTATGTCAGATGTCCATTAATGATAACACAATAAAATTAGCAGGAAGACATCAAATCCCTTTGTGCTACTGTCACAGATCACATCACTTTCAAGGAAAGCTCCACCATGGGACTCCTTAAGAAGAAGCCTTGTCTGGTCTCTCTCACATAAGGTCTCTTGAAGCCAGCCCTGGCATGGTTCTTGAGGGGCAAACCACTGGCTTGAGACAGTGGCTTCTCTTTGTCCCTGGCTACCCCTGTGGTCTACAGCATCCCTCCCTCAGAGTTCCTTCTTTGGTCAGCTCCTGGGAAAAGGGGTATTTTCCTCTTCAAAGTTGAGGGGGTACAGTGTCAAGGCTGATGTCCCAAACAGTACAACAGGAAGCTCTATGTCAAAGGGTGCTTGTAGACATGCTGTGAGGCTGCTTGGATGAACTGTAATTACAGCGTGATGGAGCAAACTGGATTGAGTCTGCTGGAGAGCCTTAATTACCATGCTCCAGCCAGCCTCTGTAGCTCATGCATTAGCGTCCCTGTGCTTCAAAATGATGGCAGGGGCACTTGAACTAAACGTGGGGAATGCTGATACACAAGACACTTTGGTGCTTTACAGGGGCGCTCAGAGCTTAGTTGAACATGCTCAGCAAGGACCTTCCATGATCCTCCTCTGAAATCCAAATCTTAGGCCAACACATTTGCCACCAGGACTAAGAAAGTCTTTTCCCACATTCCAGACTGGCAGCAAGAGTTGTTGGCTTTTTGTCTTTCTCAGAAAGGAAATTTGGTTAGGGATGTGGAGAGAGAAAATTGTAGTACTGGTATCCATTTGCTGCAACCACACAGAAGTAATCCAGTGAAGGTAACATAACTGTTATGTAGTCTGGTTGTGAAGGTTCAATTCAATTTCCATTTATTAAGGATTCTGGCTAAATGTCATGTTCCCGAAAATGACATAGCATGCATACGACCATAATATAAATAAGTTTGAACAAAGTAACCGAACTACAAATATTATACTAAAAATAGAGCCCACCAACATAAAAATATTAATATAAATAAATACAGTAGTAAATAAAGACATGAATCTATAATACTGTTGTACACAGATGCACAATTGAGACAATAAAATAAAATCTAATGTTAAAATGTATCAGTCATATCAGAAATAAAGGATATTTAATGCCAATCGCCCCAGCCTTATAAGCAAAAATTGCAAGATGGTTTACTAAATTTGGATCTGTTTGTTGTAAAAGCCAGATTCATTTCTCTCTATTTGAAAAATGTTTCAATTTCTGCAAGAACGGTAATAAATAGGTTCTCCTTATGTCATTATATAAAGAACATTCTAAAACAAAGTGGATAGTATTTTCCAAAACTCCTAGACAGACTGGGCAACAACTTTTAGCCCTTGGAATGGAAAATCTACGTCCAGCCAGAACAGCTGTGGGCATCTGTTCGATCCTGAGTCTAGTCAAAGAGGATCGTCATTTATTATTGAGATCCAACTGTAAATACCTTTCTCCCTCCACTCTAATTTCCAGAAAGTACATAAAGGGGCAATATGAGTAGCCCTAGGCACTGCAAAATCATTCTGCCTGATAATATCTCATATCCTCTGGAAAACCCGAACCTTTTCTATGGGGGAGAAAATCTTTCATTATTTTTGAGATAGTATCCCATCCCAGAAAGTGCAAAGTACGGGAAAGAAAAGCTAACCAGGGTGATTGGAGAGGTGGGGGATTATTAATATCTTCTATGTAGCATAATTTAAGCAGATAAAATGGTAAAAAGAGAAGGATTTTAAAACAAAATCCGACAATTCTAATAATAACATTAGTTAAAATAGAATCCAATCCCATCTCTAATCTCAAAAAAGATGCAGGAGTTGAGAGAGGAAGAGCCAGAAGAGCCCTAAGAAACTTGTTCTGAGGTATGTCTACATCATTACTAGCGGTCCATACTTCAGCGCTATATAAAATCTGAGAGGTAACTTTGGCTTTATATGCTGCTATAGGAGCTTGGACTAATCGTCCTGCTGTGGTTTCATAAAACGGTTGTGAAGGTTTGTGTAGTACTTTGACTGGTCCACTGCTCCACACTGTGGCAAGTGAGATTGTAAAAATCTGGTGTAGATATAGACACACTTTCTTTAACCACCTTGTATGTACAATGTGGGCAAAGATTCAGGAAATTTCTTGGCCTTCTTCAGCAAGATTTTGTGGAAAAGATTGAGAGTGACCTGCTTTTAAGGACTGCTTTGCCTTTATCTGTATGTTTGGAAACTGCTAGGCAAATGCATGTCAATGGTTTGCAGTGAAGAACCTACCTGAACTCTACATGCTGCAGACTGGAAAGATTGTAGCATGCTTTAATACCTGGCATTATTCACAGAGGTGTCTGCACCAAGGAAAGTTTAGTTTCTAAACAGAAGATAGAAATTAAATAGAAGTCTGAGAGAGGAGAGTCCTTCCACATGTCCTCCCAGTTCAAGATTACTGTAAACCTACCTTCAACGTATCTTTTTAAAGTGTGAAAAAGTACTTATAATATGCCACAAAAATGTCAGTCATAGCTTTTTCAAAATTAAAAGCATATTTAACAAGACACAGTGACGTTCTGTTATCCAAATGAAGGACTAAGATGGTCTTAAAAACAAATTAGTCAACCTCACAGATGACTTAATTGGGGTCTTAAAAACAAATTAGTCAACCTCACAGATAATTTAATTGGAAAGCCACTATGACTGTAATGCCTCATCTGATAATATAAGACTGATGAAACTGGTTCTTAAGATGAGTCTGAAAGAAAACGCAATTCTTAAAAAAAAAAATCTAGGAATCTGTGGGGTTTCAGAGTGTTTTCACTACTCACTCTTGCTGTCTAAATTACATGTGATTTTAGACTGTAAAGTGATTAAAAAATGAATTGTAAAATATCAAAAGACTTTACAATCAATTATTATATTTACTTTGTTACAAGAAAGTTGTAAAAAATATATAGACCTTTCCTTTACAGCATCAGCTATCACCCTGATACATCCCAGATTTGTGTTCAAAGACTTCAGAGTCTGAACAATGTAGAAAAAAGTGGAGAGAGGAGAGTGGAGAGAGATATTTTTTTCATTAAAAAAAATCCCCAATTTTTGGATTAAATAAGGTAACCCCAAATCCACATTTTTCTGCGATTAAAATGAAATATAATTATTTATCTATTACTGGTGTTTCATTTTAATCACTGAAAAATGTAGATTTGGGGTTACTTTTTTAATTTGAAAATTGCTCTTTTTAATCAGAGAAAACTAGGATCCCTAGAGATAAGTAATGTCTTCAAAAAGGATTCAGAAAACAGATCTGTGTAAAAAGTAACGCATATCAGTTGAATAACTATCAAAGAGCATGCTAAACTAGTTTTGCTAGTTGGTCATCTGTTCAGAAATTAGAACTTTGTCTAGCTTACATTCTTGTTTAGCCTATAAAATAATCTCCTTTTTGATCTCTGTTTTAAAACATACTGTAAGTAGCATTGAAAAGATCTAGCATAAACGTGTTTTTGTTAATTGTAAGGTAATTTTGTGACAGCAACAATATGTAATATAATACGTGTAAAAACATATATTCTGGAAAGAGCTGATTAGTTATATTTATAATCTTTTTATATATTTTCTCTTTTATCCAAGCAATTTACCTCTTGTGAAATCTGTGTTACTTGTTCCTTCTGATGTTCCAGATCTTTTATAAGCAGTGAGTTTTGCTTTTCTAGCTCCAGTAGCCTTCTTGCCAAGTGAACACTGTGCCAATAAAAAAAAAAAGAAAGATCAAGTGGAATGTTTTCCAAAACAATCTCATATTTATGCCTCAGAAACTGCCTGCTATAGCTTTCATTCATGCCTAAATATAATCAAGTACAAATGTATACTAAAAACTATTTATTATGGTCAAAATTGTAATCAGAGTTCAATGTTACAGATTTTAATTGCAGTAGAGTTAACATTCCCACTGTAATGCAACTAAGACATTTGTTTATAAATTACCTCTATTATTTGCATAACATTATATTAATGTTGTGCATAATTATAGTAGAATGCTTCAACTGACAAGGAATAAGTAGCTTTTATGTGACAATAGCCAATAGCTTCTTCCACCAATTACCTCTTTATGTGAATTGGAAAGGAAAGCCAAAAAGTGTAGCACTCAATCATTTTCATAAAATAAAATGATAAAACTTGTTTTATATGGTACTTTACAAGTGATTTAGCATACTATTTGATTGGCACTTTAAAAGGAGATTTAAAAACAAATCACAGACCCAAATCCTGTGAAGAACTTGAGCACATTAAGTTGAAATTAGATGAAATGTATGTGTTTAAATCCAAGTGTGCAATCATCATAACCTCTCAGTCTCCTGATACCACTTGGAACTTATGTTATAAAGTTCCTTAAGCAACTAACATTGTTTCTGCATCCGGCTGGGGAAGGTCCTGCTTTGAGTAGGGGATTGAACTAGATGATCTCCTGAGGTCCCTTTCAACCTAATTTTCTATGATATGCTCAGAAATACTACCTTCTGAAGAAAGTAATGAGTACAGTATCGCACACCTAGCAATGGCAATTTTCATTCAAAACATGGTGACAGTGTTAATGGTGACTGAATAATATAATAGCTCAGTATCCATGGTACTAAGGATGTGGGTGACTTGGGTTTTAAGACTGGGAAGGTTCATAAAAACAACTCCCATCAAACATCAACCCCTGACCTTTGCCACCGGAAGTCCCTCTCCTTGCCCCTGAAAGTACTCCTTTCAGCAAAGGGTTTTGCTGTCTTGGAACCAGAAAAATCCCAAATTATATTCTAAGAATTGAACATATACAACATTCATTAATTTGATTTTAAAAAATATTTTTCTCCTGATTTAGATGTGTTTGTGTAGTATACATAGGTGATTTCACAATAGCTTAAAATTAAGTCTTACGCTTGTACATCGTGGGGGTGGGAGGCATGGGGGGTGGGTATAGGTTTGTGGAGGGCTGTGAGTGTGTGGGTATGTGGGGTGTGGGGAAGGGTGTGGGTGCGGGGTGAGGAAGCATGTGGGTGCATGTGGATATGGAGTTTCTGGGGGGCTGTGTGGGGGGAAGGTGGCTGAAGTGTGTGAGGGGATGGGTATAGAGGTCTGCATATATGACAGTGCAAGGGGAGGTGTGGGTGCATGTATATGGTGGGGTGTGAATGTGGGACTCGCCCTATGAATGTGTGCAGACACACACACACACACACTCTCTCTCTCTCTCTCTCTTTCTCTGTCCCTCCCTCCCTCATTGCATGCATGAGCACACATACACACTCCTGCTCTTGGCCCTGAGGTAGTGGCACAGGCCCTGTCTGCCCACAGTCTGGCCGTGCAGCTGGGAGACATGTAGTGCAGGAGCAGGCAGTGGTGAGCAGGGAAGCGGTGAAAGCAGAGGTGGGGGGGAGTGGCACTGAGTGAGTACACGGAATGCAGTGACAGCTGGGTGGGAGTGTGGGGCCTGCGCCAGTGTCCTAGAGCCAGCACTGGTGAGGCCCAGGGTGGGGCAGCAGAGGCGCAGGACCCAGGCCCTGGGCTGGCAGGGGTCTATGGAGCCAAGTCATGCTGCACCAGCAGGGAGAGAGGGGAGCCAGCCTGGCTCCAGAGCCCCTGCCAGCATGGGCCCCGTGCCCCTGCCACACCGCCCTGGGCCCCACTGATGCTGGCCCAGCGCTCCTGCCCAACTCCTACTGCGTTCAGTGCGCCTACACACTGCTACTACCACTCCCCTCCCCTCCCCACCGCGTGACGCTGCTTTCAGCACTTCCCTGCCCACCTGCTGGCCGCTCCTGCACCACGTAGGTCTCAGCTGCATGGCTGGACTGTGGGACTCAGCAGGAGCTGGCCTGGCCTGGCCCCAAAGACTGGGGCAAGCCTTGTGGCCCTCTCCCCTCCCCACTTGAATGTGCCTCCAGCGCAGGGAGGTGGGAACAGACCCATGGTCCCAGGCCAGAAGGCTCTGCTAGGCAGAGGCTTCTAGGTGAGGGGAAGAGCTGGGGTGGACAGGGCTGGGCCAGCCTTCCTGCTGGGTCCTGCCAGCTTCCCCTGGGTCCTACTGCCCCTGGCTCCTGTCATCTTTGACAGACAGCCAGGAGAAGATAAATATTAATTTTCTAAATTGTTTAGGGGCCCCACAGGCCAGACAGAATTTTTCCTGCCTCTGGATTATTCTCATCACAGGGCTATAGAGCCATACTTACTTTTATTTCCTTTCTGGCACAATGAATACTGAGGGGTTTTCTTTTCTTCCCCTCCCAAAGTAGTACAGTTTCAACAGAAAAGGTAGAGGCTGCTTTTATACCAGCCAGTTGTTTAGGACACTCTTCTGGAGTTGGAACGTGGATTTGAATCCCATTAGGCTGAACAGAGCTTATACACTGGGTGAATACTACAGCCATTAAGCTATTAATAACAAGGGACACCACAAGTCCCTGCTCCTCTTATAGCTATTTCTTAAAAGAAAAAAAAAAGATACCTGTTCTCTTTTTGAAAGGGTTGAGTTGCATGCCTAAGCCCAGAAGAGGGTTTCAGGCTGTTAATACCAAATCTGACAGTGGGCTACTGGAAGCAGGGATGTAAATATTGTTTAAAAAGTTATCTGTTTAACCTCCTTTAATTATATCAGTTAAACAGTTAACCAATAAAACACCTAGTCCCAGCTGGGGGTGTGGAGCCCTGGGCGAGCACCTCCCCTGCCCTGTCCTGCAGCACCTGCCTGTCTAGAGAAGTCAGGGAGCTGGAAACCGTGCACAGATTTGCTTGGACACAGCTCAAGAAGCCAAGTGCCTAGAAGCTAGACATTATACCCTTGTGCACAATTCATATGAGATAATGCTAAACCAAAATCCTGACTTTATTAAATCTGTGACACTTGCACTTTTGATTTCACAATTTTACATTATAAAATACAGTAGTTTTCTGAATACTTTAAAATACATTTCCATGTGTAATAAATCTAAATAGCTTAGCACATTTGGTTTTGCAACTTTTTTAGGTTTTTCATAATTAAGCATCAACAATAACCAATGTTTCTGAAACACACATTTTGTAGAAGTAATAATCCCCTAGATCCCTAGGTATATAGGCCATGTTATCATGTCCTGTTTTATAACATTACTTCTATAGACTGAGTAATTTTATGAACACCAGTGAAACACTTAAGTTAGGTGGCTTCCAAATGATAACTATATAATGAATATATTTTCATTTAGTTTAGCTTGAATAGAAAAATTATGGAGATTTTCTTCACCTTTGTTTCAGTCGCCTTTTCGCTGTTGTAGGAACATTAGCACCATACCCATAGGAAAACAGAATTCTTTCTGCCTCATCTTCATTTTCCACTGCATGCAAAATAAAAAGATGCAATCCATTATCTTTAAAATTCTTTAAAGAATACAGTTAAAGAAAATCAACCCCTAAGTCATTCCATTAGGACCACACACTTTCTCTATAGTAAAGAACTTTGGCTGATGTAAGCCTATACAACTTCACTGACTTCAGTGGAGTATATTTATATACACTAAACAATAATTTGAAGCTATAGACTCTTATGATGCCATCAGGATCTTCACTTTTTATATTTTCAGTAAATGTACTACTTATGTAATGTGGAAGGAAATGTTAAAAAAACAGATGTCCTTGAGGACTCATGTCTTCTTTTTATAGTTTTGTTTTCTCTCTTTCTCAACTTCAGAAATAAACAATTGTGCCACAGCAATTATAACAACATCAAATGGAAAAGGCATCAAGTTCATCCTTCTATAAATGCACAAGTATTCATAGCACTCTAACACTACCAAGTATTCTCTAAAATTTATTTTTGGAAGTTTGATTCATTTTCAAAACTTTCAAACAAGCGTCATTGAGTTATTTTATATTATACAAGTATATAATAAGTATTTTCAGGGCAAGGGACTCATCTGGCCCATCTGATGGCCAGATCAGACACACCAATGAACCTTGTGTGCTGGAGCCAGCATGCAAGACTGTTCCCGCATGGTCAACTCATGTAGCATGGACCTTGGACCAGTCCTGTGTACCATGTGCAGTATGCACCAGCACCAGCCTGGAGCTCATGCACTGAGCCAGCTTGGGGCGTGTGCTACATGAGGTGCCTGGGCCGGATCAGCTCTATGTTCTGGCTCCAGTGCATAGGGCAGGTCTGTGGGCCTGATCTGGACTGGCCCCAGAGCCAGCGCACAGGGCTGGACCAGTGGGACACTGCCTGTAGTGCACCCCTTGGATCATCCCCCTGTGCTGCATGCAGCTTGAGCATTAGGTCCAGCCCCGTGCTGCACACAGCACATGCCAGCCCTGGTCTGGGGTTCAGGTTGCATGTGGCGCATAGGGCCAGTGTGGGGTGCATGTTTCAGGTGCACCCAGCCCAGAGCAGCCCTGCACTCTGGGTTCAATGCACAGGGATGGTCTGTGGGCCCAATCTGGCCCCAAAACCAGTGTACAGGGCTAGCACAGGCATTGAATAAAATATGCACCCTGTGCTGGCGCTGTGTGCTGCATGCAGTGTGTGATGCTGGGGCCACAGGCCAGATCCTAGGGTTTCATGCTGGCCCATGGGGTGTATCTTTGATATCTGTGGTGAAGGGGTTTCAAACTTATCTGGGCCTACAGAGATGTGGGGCTAGTCTGCAGGCAAGACTGAGCCCACAGACTGGCCCCATGTGCCTGATTCAGCACATGTGCTGGCTTCAATCCTGTGTCACACATAACATGTGCCAACTCTGGTGCCACATGCTACAGGAGGTATGTGGGGCCAGTCCACGGCACATGATGCATGTTTTACATGTGCTGAATCTGGCACCTAAGACTAGTCCAATATGGATGTTACATTTTGTGTGCAGCCCACAGCAGCTACACGTGCCACATGCAGCATGTGGGGCCAGTCCATGACCCATAGGCCTCACCATGACCCAGATGATAGGGCTCAGCAAACTGGACTTGGCCCACAGACTTATCTTTGACATCCTGGTATAGCCTATTAATTTAAATTCCTGCACATTAAGAATACAAATTAAAATCACTTAATAAGCTATATTAATACATTATTTTTATCATGCCATGAATGTTATCAAATAATAAACAACTAATTTTTGTTGTTTACTCTCTGACAATGAGTATTTCTTACCTCTGTTACTAATTACAGTGTTATTATTTAGTCATGTGCTTAATATAATTACATATTCTAAGAACAGATTGAATTTTATTAGTAGATGTTAACAGTTATGAACCCAAAAAGTTGACAAAGCCAGTAGGGAAAAACAGATCACCCGAGTGAGGGACTAACATAGGAGGGATGGGGGTGAGGAGGAGAATGCAACTAGTTTACAGAAAATACAATGTTAGCCAACTAAGCCCGGGGGTAGGGGAAGGGGAGGGAGGGGGTTCATGATGCTGAGAAAGAGGATAGATACACACAAACCCGTACAGTGGTCTACAATGGTGGAGGAAGCAGGTTGAAGAAAGTTTCTCAGTCCATATAGAGTCTCATCGCAGGGGTCCTCTTCGGGTAGTGTGGGGTGGTCTGTCGTTGATGATTCCTCTCAAAGTCCATCAGGTGCAGAGTGGGGTTCAGGTGGTCCCCTCTGGGTCTGGTGGCGGTTGGTCTGGCGGGGTCATTGTACAGGTGGTGGCCCGTGATGTCACGGGCCCAGCGGATCGTATCAGACACCATGATATCAGCGTGGCGTAGCAGTGGGAGATGCGGCAGACAAGCAGGACACTCTCGTTGCTGGGGTCCCATGCACTGAGTGTTCCCACGATGAGCGCATCGACCATCACGTTGTAGCTGTGGCCCCTCAGGATGTTGGCCAGCGGGGCATACTTCTCCCACTTGCGAGCCTGGGCATCGGTGAAGGCTTGGTGCCAGTTCTCGAAGGGGATGGCCATGTCCACGATCACGATCTTCTTGGCCTCTTCATTCATGATGATGATGTTGAGGTGCATCTGGCTCTCTCAGCCCGGGATGGTGCGGTTCACAGAGATCTCCCTCGCTGCGGCCAAGATGGCCCTCACCAGGCGGTCCTGGACAGCGTTGTGGCAGAGCTGCCAGGCTCTGGTGTGTGGCCTGCAGCTGCACAGCATGTGGTGGAGGGTCTCTACCGCGTAGCTGCACTGTCAGCACCTCTTGTCCCAGTGGCCGAAGCGGATGGCCCCATTCAGAGGCAGGCAGTTGAGGCGGGCATGGTGGAGGAAGCGCCAGTCCGCAAACTGCATGAAGCTCCCGGGTATGAAGTGGTTGCTGCAGTCCAACTTCGAGGTGACATCGAAGACCATGCCCTGGTCGGGTTTGGCCCTTGGGTTGCTGGTGTACTTGTTGTGGACATCGTCCTTCAGAAACCGCTTCAGGGATGCCCTCATGCAGGGCATCATGGTGACACAGTCCGCGTGTGAGGCTGGTTGCATGGAGACTCCCAGCTCCCAGCGCTCCTCGGTCCAGGTCCAGCCGATGCACTTCCCAAAGCAGTGCGTGGCATTGCAGGCTTGGCTCCATAGCAAGGCAAAGTCCCCGCCGTCTCTGCCACACTTGCCCTCCAGTGAGCTACTGAGGAAAGTGGCCAAGTCACATCTGGTCGGTTGCCTCCTCTTGTGAGTGGTCCCCTCGAGGGTGCTGGCAATACTTACTGTCAGGTCCGGGCAGGTCAGGAGGCGGAAGGTGTGGGTGACCAACATGATGTCGCAGAGGTCTCCCATGCAGGGGACATTGGCGCCTCACTGCCGGTAGGGGACATGCAGGATCTTGCTGCTGGCCCTCAGTGACAGGTGCAATCACTTCTTCGGCAGCTGCCGGATCTCTTAATATTAATATAGCTTATTAATATGACGTAATAAGCTATATAAATAGATTATTTTTACCATGCCATGAATGTTATCAAATAACAAACAACTAATTTTTATCTCTGACAATGATTATTTCTTACTTCTGTTACTAATTAGTGTTATTATTTACAGTGATGTGCTTAACATAATTACATATTCTAAGAACTACATGCACAGAACAAACAGGACAAAAATATTTCTTGGTAAGGGCATCTCAAATCTGAATGCAGGGAGGAAAAGTACATCTAATTTATTAACTGATATTACTAACTACAACTACATCATGCCTTCACTGGAGGTGATGGTAGCAGTGATGTGTGTAAACCATTTTCAGGCATCTACAACGTTCTGCAGGAAAATGAAGAAAAATCCGTTGCAGTTAATTTTCTCTGAGTTTCAGTAGGCAGGGCACGGAGTGGTGAAGTGGGGCCACAAGTGGCCTTAATGCAGTCTGGAAAACCAAGGTGGGCAAATCTAGTGATGACTTCCTGTGGGTTGCTAAGTCACAGGAATCACAGTGCCAGTTCACTCTAGATGGCATGGTACATCTCTTTCACAATTGTGTTCACAAAGTGGTTGGCCATGGACTGTAGGCTGTTGGGGCTGGCTGACATCCAAATAGCAATGGTCAGGGGTACCCTTATGCTGGCAGCTTGCCACTCGAATGAAGGGGCCAACTTGCTCCAGCTCTCTGTGAACATGCCACAGTTCATTTTAAAGTTCTGCTATGAGGGCTTATCATCACATGTCCCCAGGACTATACATTCCCACCAACTGCTGCTCAGTTCCTGGCACACCTATAAGCACGGGCTTGCAGATGGTCCCAAAGAAAGCCATCTTCCAGTGTCATCATCCTTAGGCATATGGCTGTTGGCAGTGGTTTTGCAGCAGGGACTCTGATTTTCTCTTATAACAAAACATCCCCAATTTTTGGATTTAAAAAAGTAACCCAAAATCCACATCTTTCCGTGATCAAAATGAAATGCCATGATATATATATTAGTGGTATTTCATTTTAATCATGAAAAAATGTTTATTTTGGGTTACTTTTTTAATCCACAAATTGGGGATGTTTTGTTACCAGAGAAAACCAGGATCCCTACTGAGCAGGTAGCACGTGACAGCGCCTCTTCTATAAATGACCAGCCCTGATGCGGCAGCGAGCATCCAGCAGACGCTGGGGGCAGATAGCCAACAGGCTCTTTCCTCTATGCTCAGCAGTTTTCAGGAGCCTCCAGGGACTCTAGTCTGAAAGGTAAGCTGGGGTCTCTGTTCTCTAGCTCCACCTGGGTTCAGAGGACTGCCACAGCATGGACATGGGGCCATTCTGAAGTACTTCAGCTGGGAAGGGTCTGTACCACTGCATGATGCTGAAGTGCTCCAATTCTCCAGTGCTTCATAATGTCATGGGATTTGAACTGTTTCAAAAGACCACATGTCCATACCCTCTGATGGGTCAGGATTTATTCTAAATCACATTCACATTGCTTTGAAAAGCAGATTGGAGAATTTTTATAGCACATGAGACTTTAAATCAAATATATGCCTTTAAATCTTAAAAAATGTTATACAATTTTTCTTCAAATGTTTAACTATTTAACTTATATAAATTCCCAGACTTCATTTAGAATATGTGGACAAAATGTGCCTTTTTCCCCCTCATGTTTTTGGTATTTCCAAAAAATTCACATTTGAACTGAGATCAAGCATGGAAGATTTAAAGCATGCAGGGATCTGTTCAAAGAAGTTAAAAGCAACTGGAGGGGCTGGAGCCACAATGGAAACTGGAATGCAACCTTAATCATAGCTTCTGCTACCATAGAAGCTATAACAGGAGAAAACACCAATAAATAATTTCAAAAGAATGCAGTCTTCTTTTCAGAATCATTACATGAACTCATTTTCTAAAAAAAAGAATAAAGAAAAAACCCGCTGGATAGTACATAAAAATAGGTAAGGTAAAAAATATTTTTGTATTAGAGTTCTTTCTTTTTTTCCTTTAAGCTGAACATGTTAAATGACTATCATTTAAATCTGTTTGAAAGCTTACACATTTTGTATTGCAACATATTGTTTAGGTGTATAATTAAACTCTAAAATATTTATTGCAATATTAATACTTTCAACTCCAGGAGCAAATCTTTAACCAATAACACTAGATGAATCAGAAAGTCTGCTTAAGGAAGTAAGACACCATTCTAGAACTTGGAGTCTCTCCTTGGGAAAATTCTAAGTCCAAAACATTCTCACTGTCTGATATTGGCACAAGAATACCCCTAAGGCAGAACATCATGTGCATTTGCTAACAGCATGTGCTTACATTTTTCTCAGTAACTTATATAAAACATGCATTCTTAAATATTAGACTGAGTCAAAATTACTGACAGACACGCCACCCTCGAGATAAATATATTTTAAGTCCACACTCCTTAGTTTCTGAAAATGTTCAGTCCAACTGAATGCATATTTTAACTTTAAACTCTGATAAAATCTTCCATGCCAAAAACTGTTTAAGTATGACTTTGGAAAACTCTTCTACAGATCTCCATAAGGACACAGAACTGCATCCTATAACTAAGCATAGAAGTTATAGGATCCAGGCCTTCAATACCATTTGCACACAAAATTAGAAGGGACATTTAAACCAGTTAGGAAATAAACTAAGGTGGTATAAATCTTTGGCAAAAAATGTTGCTGCAAGGATTTCATTACTTAAGGCGGCAGACTTGCTGTTCTTGCCAATTTGGATCAAAATCTTGCTAGAACAGCTCACAAGATTTCTACGCTGTCAAGCATTAACATAAGTCATGCTTTAATCTTGAACCCAATCTGTATCTAAAAACTTTCCCTGACACACATCTAGTTAATATTAATATTCTGTTGAATTAAAAACAAGATTATTACTATTTATTCATTACAGTACGGAACCCAGAGTCCTCCGTCAGGGAACAGGGGGCTGTTTAGTGTTTGGTACTGTACATGAATTTAATAAAAAAAATAGTTTACTTCTCAAAGAACTAACCTGGGAGTCTGTTAAAAACAGCAGGAAGGTAGAATAAACAAATGAGAAGAAAACAGGACAGGGTTGGATAATTGTTTGCTATAATACATAATACTTAGTATAAGTTTAAATGTATAATGATTAGCAAAAGTTTTTTAGCAGTGGCCCAATGTGCAACTAGTATTAAAATAAGTATTTTCAATAAACACTGCAGAATTCATACTTAATCTATTTACTGAATCTCGAATTTCTGTCTAAAATGCCTCCACTATATGTTACAAATTCTCTCAGAAACTTGCAGCTTATGAGAACCCCAGTATGATAAGAAATTACAGTGTAAATTGGGGAAGAACTTACTTTCTGCCGTTTGCAATATTATCTCATCTAGTTCTTTTTCCAGTTTTTCATATGTATCAAGTTTTGCTTGACGCTCTGAATTCTTTGCCTGAAGTTCAATAACACGCGTTTCACTAGAAGCTTGAAGGCTATAGAATTCCTTAGTCAAAACCTGTGAAAGAATAACAGAACAAGTCAAAAGAGCAGGAATTCAGTATTACATGCTATTTATGAAAGAGGTGAAAGCACAAGAGGTTCAGCATGCTAATAGAGGAAAATGAAACATTCTATATTATTTGTTAAGTACAAATGTAATTTTAATCCATCGTGGAAGAAACAACAAATATACAATTCAGCCACTACAGTGGCCATTCTCCAAGCTATAGCACCCTCTACAAAACTATTCTCTCAGGTCATGTGGCAGTTTACTAAATCCCTAATAATTTAATGTCTACTTCAAAAAGCAGCCAGTAACCTCACTGGAGGACAATCATGAAAAAATAGGGGCTAAGAAAAATAGGTACTATGTTTTGCATAATTAAAATAAAAGTATTTTCTTTTTGCAGTTTATCTAACCTTTTCCTTAAAACTAAGACAGAGAACAAAAAAATAATACATTTTAAGACCAGTGAAAAAAGTACCACAATACGCTATTTAAGTAAAACAGGCACGCACACAACAACTATAACAGTCTATATTCAAATGTTATACGCGTAGGACCCTGGCAGATGTTACATTTCTTGCATGATTAAATGTGTAACACCTTCATGGCTGGTTTGTATCACACCAAATTAGACATGTGGCATATGCCCCAGACCTGGAACTTCCTCTTGCCTGACACCTACTGGGCAGCTGATTATTAGGATCAGGCAGTAAGAAGCCCCCAGGGTTCAGGACACAATCACCCCTTCCCTGTTTCCTGGAATTTGGCATATCTCCAAATCCCAGGGAAATCCCCAGTCACCTCCTGCCTGACCCTATGATCAGCCACTGGGAAGTTCCTAGGGTCCCAGGACACAATCATCCCCTACCAGATCCCTGGCAAAGGGACAGGTTTAGAAAAAAAAATTCACGTTACAGCAATATTTCTTTAAATAACTAGTTTCAGAGCACAGAATAGGAGAAGCTATTCACCACTTAGTTCAAAGTATCAAGCAGGAGGTAGTTCAAGATGTTACTAGAGAAGAACTACTAAGTAACAGTGATGACCACTTTGTTCAATTCAGCAGTTTACTAGAAGTAAAGGCACCAAAAGGCACCAAAACTAGTACAGGTTTCCCTCACTTTATGCGGGGTCTGTATGTGCAAATTTGCTGTTGTGCTATGACCTTTTTTATCCCAACATTTTGTTATATGCAAGGTAAGTTTACTCTTATGCAACTGGTGTGGTAGAAACCCGCAGTCAGATGCTTTGTGCAGTTCAGTGTGGTGCACACCAAAATATAATCTGCTGTGTGGATCTGTGCTCCTTGCTAGTTATCTGCAACACGTGTTTCTGTAGTTGCCATCCCCATTATGATAGTGCCCTGTGCTTGTGTGTACTGTCTACTGTTGGTGAATACCAAAATTGTCTTATAAAGGTGGTAGAAATGGGCCTGGAGGTCAGTACATTCGAGGTCTTGGAACGTATCCATTTGTTACATTATAAAGTGGGTTCCCTTTATATGAATTTGACTTATGCGCCGTTTTCCAGGAACGCATGTACAGAATAAAGAAAGGGAAACCTGTATGTTACTACTCAACTTTACAAAGGGATTTAAAAAAAAAGCAGTCAAAAAGATTCTGAAATCAGAAGACACTAAAATCTTTAGATTCTCCATGCATGCCACTTAAGAACAACAGTCTCAGAAGGCATGTATACATACCTTGGAACAGGTAACCAATATGTTGAATGGCAGTGATTTAAGCTAAAAATGGTGACTTAAGTGGTTATTTAAGCTAAAAATGTATCCTTCAAGAAAATGGAATTACAACTCTAGCAAAGACAACTGCTTTGAAGTTCCAACATGCCTATACAATGCAAATATGTGTAGGGTTTTTTGGGGGGGTTTTTAAGTCCATCAGTACTGGCAACCATCTAGTATCCAGCACCAGTCAGACATACCAAAAGCCCAACACAGACAAAACATTAAGCATCTATACCTTATGGACTAATACATAAGGGCAGAAGAAGGTGAAAGGTATAATTCCTGGTCTGCTTCCTCACTGCTACAGAAAAGTCCTGCTTCAAGCAGATATAGGCTTTTATGAGCACCAAAATGACAGCTGTTTATCAGTCAATTTGAGCATTTGCAGAAGTGCTCAGATTTCTACAATAACAGCCCTTACTCTAACACATAAAATGGGTTATCAATGGCTGTTATTAGGGGTTGTTATTCAACCCCTCCTACTTCCAGCCATAGAAACCCGATAAAACAGGATTCAACTGATGTGATCTGGTGATCAAATGTTATCAATTGAAAATGGAGCATTTTCCAATACTCCTGTAACAAACAAACTAGATTACATACAATTTTATGGAATACATTTAAACTCTTCTCTTCAGGTCCCTTACCAGTTAAAATTTAAAATTTGTGTACAAGGAGAAAAACTGGTTCCAAATCACTGGTGTAACTGGGATTAGCTGCTACAAATTCTAAGAGTAAATATACTGAGACTTCTCCGATTTCTTTAGTTACTAAGCTTGAAGTACAGAGTTCCAACCTAAGTTACCTCATTAGAGGTACGATGTTAGTTCTGAAATATTTATGTCTCCAAAATTTGTGATATACACAGTTGTACTAAAGTACTTTATTCACTTTTTCTTTCAGGAATAAATAGTCTATACTAGAAAAAGGACCTTAGCATTGGAACAGAGACTTATGTTATTCTTAAATTATTAACATGCTAGTGTAAAAGAGAAAAATGTTGATTCTTTCCTATATTCATACTCTCACTGGTTATAAATAAGAAAATATCCTGCCTTTCATTTTACATTATGAATTATTCTTATATTCATATTTTTAAAAAAATGAATTACGCACAAAAGAGTCATCCATGGTCTAGTGTAAAAATATATAAGAACCTGCCATAGAGCAAATTCAGTAATTAAAAGGCAATTTTTGTTATACCATAACATACATGTATACTTTCTATACCATGGATATTTGCCATATATTCTATAGGATTAAAATATTTGGTTACTATTGTAGAACAGTATTATTTAATTTCACTTAAAAAACCCTCTTGTACTGAGTTTATACTGAAAAAATATTTATATAAAACTATAATTTTGCATGGCACATTCCATTATAGAAACTGCAGAGAAAAAGTAAATTAAAAGATATGTGCAGATGAACATTTTTTGTATTGGAAGTATATTTTACCACACCATGCAGTATAAACATGTTTTATTTGTAGGAATTCGGAATTATTATTAGTTGTACTACATAAGTGCTAGGAACTATTGCATTAGTCAGAAATAACAATGCTCTAGTTTTCTATATATGAAGAATTTTATAATAAAGTTATTTTAGAATGGTTTTAGACTGTTAACTGTATCAGCGCTATTTTTCATATTATCACTTTCTACAGGAGAGAAGAACTGGTCACCTTGAACTTCAATCTGATATTCTACTTCTACAGGGTCTGGCATCAATCTCACTTCCCTATGTATTCTGTTACATTCAATTTTATTTGATGATCTAATGTATACAGGTAGTGTAAAAGTGCCTTTTTATAGCATACCTCCAGTTTTCTCTGATATTTCTCACACTCTAATTGACACTGAGAAAGATTCTTGGCTGTTTCTTCATGCAGGAGATGAACACGTTCACTCTCAAAGGCCTTTAATTTATTTTGATGGAGAAGTTCAGCCACCTTGGTTTCTGTGCTGAGTTGCAACTGTCTGTACCTGGGAGGTGGGGAAAAACAAAACAAAAAGAAAAACAAACTTAAAATGGTTATGATCCAAAAAATAAATAAATCAAAATATACATATAGAACAGGGGTCAGAAACCTGTGGCCCATAGGCCAAATCCAGCCCACAAACAGCCTGCTACTCTGCAGCATATGATCATACCTTTGCTACAGAGGGCCTGGGAATCTGACAACTGACCCCTGAAGGGCTGGGGGAAAGGGAAGGAGTGAGGGGAGGCGACTTCTGGCCTGCACTGACGACTGGCCTGTGGCCTATGCTGACCACAGGGTGCTGACCCTTGATCTAGAAGAAGCATATTAGATTATTTCATTACATAGTATACAGAGGAAAAAATGTAAATTGTAGCAAGTTTAATAAATATTGATAAGGTTAAACAATCTGCTACTAATATTTGGAAATAATAGCTGGCTAGTTAAAAAACAGCAGTATTAAACTTAGCGTGCCATGAAGATGATGAACTGTATTAAGTGAAAAAGCACAGGCTGCAGCTGTATTGAATACATGGGTACTACAGAAACAAATGGCAAGCAGAGAAAATGTAGTAACTGATTCTTCAGGCATGCACACGCATGCTCCTCACAGGCATTGCACTGTAAACTGAAAAGCAGCATTTATTAGGCTGCACTGTGCGTGTTCTCCTGCCCTCAATTCAAAGACATAACAGACAAGTCAACCACAACTATCCTTCAGTTCTCTACTAATTCAGAACAACAGGGAAGAAGACTGAAAACGTGAGAATGGGAGTTGTGTTTCAAGAGATTATTTCCAAGAACCAGTTATAAAACCAAATAACTGTTCTTCCTTTGAATATATACAAACATGGATCCAAATCTAAGAGACTGGTAATAAATGCCCTTTCTGGAAGGTGGGACTGAGTAGTTTTGCCCACTGTTAACTAAACAGTTCGTACTGTGCGGGCCGGGAGCGGTCCCAGGCTCTTGGGGGCGCGCGGCGGGCTGTGGCCAGTAGCTCTGGCACGCGGGTTGGGGAATGCAGGCCGGCGAACTAGAATTAGGCACGGACGCGTAGCGGTTGATTAAAGATTATTTTACTTACACCGTAGATGGTTCCGGTGCAGGCAGGAAAACTTGCTTGAGTTGCAGTTACAGACAGAAAAGAAGAGAGGCGGACAAGAGTTCCTTCCACGCGAACATCTAGCCCAATCCGGTTGAAGGCTCTAAACATGCGAGCCCGTCGTGTCAACCGAAGAAAACAACTCGGAGAAAGAGCTCTGGATACACTCACACGAAGTTTGCTAGGCTCCGTGGAACTTGCGCGCAGGGAAGGGTACGTCGAGGGATCAGGCGGCGACGGGGAGAGGCCAGAGGTTGATCAGACCCCTATAGCCTTCTTGAGATACACGCTGGGTCCAATAGGCTCCGCGGCACTTAGAGATCTTCACGAGATGTGAAGTTCTCCTCCTCCAGATGGTTGTGGAGTCCTCCCTTGCGGGGTTCTCCTCGGAGTTCTCCAACTTGGGCGGAAATCGCTTAAGCCTCTTATACAGCTAGCAAGCCAATCACTAGCAGCCACGTGGGAATAATTTAGAACTGGCCAATAGTGGGACACAAATTTGCATGCGGGTGGCGGGAACTCCTTTGCACCGTGCATTTCTCTTTGCAACTAAGAAATGCACCCTGCAAAGAAAGCTCCGAGTGGCGGGAAATAATTTAGCAGCGCCGAAGTGCACGCACACCAAATCACACCCTTGGGTTGTGACACGTACTACATTCCTTTAAACTTTGGCATTTGAGTTGGTAGACACATTAAGGGCAAAGTGTAACAAAAGGGAAGACTGATTCAAGTTGCTCCCTTTACAGATTTCAGATACTGGAATATTTAAGGGCCCTGGCAGATGTTATTTTCATAGTATGAGGGGTACTGAGCAATTTTGTCACATGTTGGAAACACTGAGCAACGTGCATGATTTCACATTCACTTGGCACATAGTCTGCAGGGGAAAAATACAGCATGTGAGCTTGTGCTGCTAGTACTTGCTAGCTAGGGGAGCTGGAGAGCTGTTGCTGGGGTGGACCTCACAGCAAAACTCATTCCAGGTATCCCTGGAAAAGTCTGAGTTCCACTGCATCTGCACCTCCCATGGTTTGACCCTCCCAGTGCACCTTAGGATATTGGAGGATCGAGCCAAGCCCTATCACCCTGTGTAATAAATCATATTCAAATGTATGTCCAACACAAACAAACCAAAAAGATGTTCAACATCTGAGTAACATCTTTGAGACTAGTTCACCATATTTGAGGCTAGTTCAAAATTTTTATCACATAATAAATTGCTTGAATATATGGCATTTTACAGTTTATTGTGTAACAAATGTAACATTTGCCAGGGGCCTGCCCTCTAAAGAAAAAAAGCTCTGACATTTGGCCAAGAGGTATTCCAGCTGTGTGGCAGCATAATAAAATACAATGATATAGCCATTAAAATGTCCTCTGAAAAAAAAAGCTTGTCCCTTAGAAGTGCAAGTATGTCAACAAAAAGAGAAGGAGACTTTCTGTAAGAGTTTCTGCAATCAAGAAAATAGAATAAGACTTGAAATACAAAAAAGTGAAGTTTTTGTCTAGTGAATAATGGGATTTTGGAAATAAAACAGGAAGATTAATAAATTGATGCAAATGGAAAAGTGACACAGCCTTGGCAATAAATCTAATATTAGGCTGCAGTTGTAAATGATTTCTGGGCATGTATACACGAGACACTAAATGTGCAGTAGACTAATTCAACTGCGCATTAGCATGGCATGCAAAAACCATGCAGCAGTGCTGCTTATGGTGCATTAAGTTAGTACCTGTTATTACAGGTACTAAACTTAATGTGCCATAATTATGGTGCATTAATGACCGTGTGTAAATGTGCCTTCTACACATGTTCACATAAGGAATCACATAAAGAAATTCAGTCATGATGGGGTTGCAGTTTGAAGATACTTCTGATGAGCAGAAAAACGTATCTTAAAAGTAAGGTGGTATTGAAAATATCCTGAAAAGGGCTCGGCACCACTTTGTGTGGTTTGTTAAGAAAAGATTAAGATACCTGAGTGGTGCTCCCAGTTATAAGTAAATATGTAGTAAACCCTTTAAAAATCAGGCAGGGAGGGAAAAATGAGCATAACTGCATGGAGAAAAGAGATAATGACATATCAAAATCATTGCCAGGTGGATTTTAATGAAACCAAATAAAATAAGGATTTCACCTGCAGAATATAATAGATGTTTTTCAGTGGTGGTGGTGTTGCTGGGCTACCTAAATTGAAGATTTTCTAAAATTAGACCAGTGATTCTCAACCAGGGTGATGTGGCCTAAGATTCTGAAAAAACAGATTTTTTCAGGGGTGTTGCAGGTTTACAAACGTGATTCACAAGATAAACCCAGAAGTTTCAAAAAGAAATCCATAGTTGTGGTCCGAGTTCTTTAAAACAGAAAAAAAACTGCTCCATTATTTTTCTGTAATTCTGAAGTAGAAATTAAGAGCTGGCATTTTCTGAGCGGTGCCTTGAAACTGAAAAGGTTGAGAACCAATGAAATAAAGGAATAAGTTATCAATTTAGTGTAGGATTTCTTCAGCTTTTAATGAACAGTTGCCTTCACCATGAAATCACCGCTCACCAGAGACAATACGGTATGTAAAACAGATGTATGATTTATTACATAAGATAGATCATACAAGGAAAAGTAACTGTTATATTTGGAGACAGGAATTATTCGAGCAATAAAACTGGAAAAAAAAAATCTCACCCTGGTTTTCTAAGTACAATCAGATTCTGAGTGATTGTTTCAATCGTTTTCCTCAATCAGCAGTCCTGCCAGATCTTAGAAGATCATGCCAGTTCTTCTCAGCTGGTACACAATAACTTCATCCTAAGGGCAAGCAGTTTCTAGACAATCTCGTGCTCAAAAGGCATCTTTTAAATAACTTATTGCTACTTCTCCACCTGTATTTTTCCAATCAATTCTTGGGAGCGCGTCTATTTTCCATTACATTTCTCTCAGGGACAGGAAAGAGTCCAGCAGCAGCTGCTGCCCTCACTGCCTTCCTCAGATTAAGGTGACTTGTGACATTTCCCCAAGGCCAGAGTTCAATCCCTGTTTGCTACAGGCTGGAACACCTGTACACTCCCCACCTTTTGCACAATTTCTAATGTTGCATATTTTCAGAAATTTGCAGTATTAGAAATTAATGCCTGTCCATAGCCACAGTGCCCCCCCTCCCCCAAATAGGCCACTAAATCACAGAATCATAGAAAATTAGGGTTGGAAGGGACCTCAGGAGGTCATCTAGTTCAACCTCCTGCTCAAAGCAGGACTGTCCCCAACTAGATCATCCCCGCCAAGACTCTGTCTACCCAGGTCTTAAAAACTTCCAAGAATGGAGATTCCACAACCTTGCTGAATAACCAGTTCCAGTGTTTTACTATCCTCCTAGGGCATGTCCAGACAAGCCCACATGTGCCTCTTGCCACATCTCAAAGCAGTTTGAGATGTGGGAAGAGGCACGCTGGGAACAAAAAAACATTCTCCATGCTGCATATTTGTAGCACGGGCTCAAAATTTGATACCTGGACATCCAGGTCTAAAAAAACATGCAGAAAAAAAGTGGAGCGGGGCATGTACCAAGACCTATGGCTGTCCCTTGCCCTGGTGCTGCAGCCCGTGCAGGGCAAGGAGCAGTGCAGGCTGCAGTGACATGGACCCCAAGCTCGGTCCCCAGGTAAATAGGGACTGGGGGTGGGAGGGACTGGAGTCAGGGCTGTGTGGGTGCAGGGGACTGGGGGGAAGGGGACTGTGGGGGGTGGGGGCTGCTCAGGAGGGGTGGATCCCCTGCCTGCCCACTGCAGGGCCCACAGCTATGGCTATAGCCCCACCGCTGGGCCCACATCTCACCCCCACAGCAGCAGCAGCTGTTGAGGCACTTGGGGCCCTCCTAGCACAGCACCTGCACGAGACAGGGCAGTGC